CCCCAAAACCCCAAAACCCCAAAACCCCAAAACCCCAAAATAAAATTAAAAATGGAATATTTTACAATATAATAGCTAAAATGGGACGATCGAATTTATTTAAAGAAGATCAGCTTAAGATTCATAAGAAGGAGCTCAAGAATATGAAGAAGTGCTTCTTGGCTCAGAAGGATAAGTTTAGAGGTATTTATTATAACAATTGGGGTCTGAATCGATTTGTCAGTAATTCTTACTGATTCATTGAATTCACTATTTCTGACGAGATGAAGGGTTTTATTCAAATTATTTAGCAATGGCTCATGATGGCCTTTCACTGCATATTTTCGTTCCAAGTTATCAAGATACGACAACTACTAAGATTGGTAAACAAATTTTCTTATTTTCTTATTTAGCTTTCTATAATTCTCATGAACTTAAAATTTTCAGCCGACTTGAACCTCTGAGTGGAGCTCATATGCAAGGTTCAATTGAAGCTTGGATAGTGACCAAGAAACATGCTCAGAAATTAAAGAAATTTTTGAATAAAATGAATTTTAAAATTGAGAATCTTCATCTATACCAAAGCCCTGACATTATGTATTCCAAATTGAATCTTCCGATGGTAGGAGTTCTAAAAATCCTACCAAAAATTACAAAAATCTTCAAGATGGAAGGTTTTATTCTTCTTGGCAAAAACCTCGCATTAATTCTCTCAAACATGCAAACTTGTCAAAAACTCTGCTTCCAATGCTGAATCCTTGACTGAATCTTCCAGAAACACAACATTCAAGGAGAATCAAACTTAAAAGTCCTCGAAATCTCTTGGTGTAAACAATTCGCTTCAAAACTGTTCGGAGCTCCATGGACGAATTTCACCAACCTCCTTCTCATGATCACAAATTCTTCACTAGTGAATTCTTTAAATCACCTAAACTTCCACCCTATCCCAGACCCGCGTTTGCACAAAAGAGTGTTCAAGGAAAATGGAATCGCTCATCTGTTAGATCCCTATTAAGCCGATTTATTTATTCTAAAAATCTGTTCGACAAAGTATTCATTCTGTGGGGTTTTGGGGTTTTGGGGTTTTGGGGTTTTGGGGTTTTGGGG